TCTGCTAAGATGAATATTTAATTATTCTCAAGTTTGTTAAACTGTATTTTAAAACTTGTTTAAATTTATTTTGACCTTGCATTCAACACACATACACATATATGTAGGTTTACAGTCCTGAATATGTGAAAGTTTTTTGTATTATTTATTATATTATTTGTATTACAACTGTAAACCTACTTTTACCCACCTCTGTATAACATATAGCTAATATTTTGTTTGGGATTTTTGTGTCTGTGTTCTGAATGAGTCTGTGATTTCCCTTTCTTATGCTTATCTGGTTTAGTATTAAGATTATGACAGCCTCATTAAAAAAGTTGAGGAATATTTCCTCTTATATTTGTCTTTGGAAGAACTGTCTAAAATTGGAATTATTAGTTCCTTGAATGTGTAGAACTTACCAGTGGTGTCATCTGGGCTAGAGTTTTCTTTGTAGAAGAAAAAAGAAATACATACATACACATGTATATACATATATAAATTTTCATACAGAAGATTTTACTGTTTATTTTAGTGTATACTCTATGAATTTTAATACATGTATAGATTCATGTAACCACCAATAAAATCAGGACTCAGAACAGTTACATCATCCCCCCAAACTCCCCAGTGCTACCCCCTTTATAGTCACACTCTCGCCTATTCTAGCCCCTGGCAACCATTGATTTGTTATCTAGCACATAGTCTGTCTTTTAAAAAATGTCATATACATATAATCGTACAGTATGTAATCTTTTCAGCCATAAGAAAAGATGAAATACTGCCATTTGTGACAATATGGATGCACCTTGAGAATATTATGCCAAGTGAAATAAGTCAGTAAGAAAAAGCCAAGAATCATATGACTTCACTCATATATGGGATATAAAACTGAAAAATCATAGATACGAAAAATAGTATGGTGGTTACGAGAGAGAAGGAGGGTGGGGGCAGTAAAGGGGATCAAATATGGTGATGGAAGATGATTTGACTTTGGATGGTGGGCACACAATGCAATACACAGATCATGTATCATAGAAATATACACTTGAAAGCTATATAATCTTATTAACCAATGTCACCCCAATAAATTTAATTAAAAACCACCATAAAACTGCTATAACCATAACTTACAAAATTTGAAATGCAATATTTTCATTATTCAGTATAAAATGTTTCTTCATTTTGTTTATGATTTCTGTACTGACCCATGAACATAAATTCAAAAGTGTGTTTCTTAAAATTTCCAAACTTAATGTTCTATTTTATTATCTTCTAGCTTACTTGTATTATGTTCAAGGAACATACTGTATATAATTTTATCCTTTAAAATTTGTTGAAATTTGTTTTATTACCATGTATATGCTCAATTTTTGTAAGTGATCCACACTTGAAAAACATTTAATTTGCAATTACTAAGTACATTGTCTATATTTCTTACTCATATTTTCTAATCTTCTATATCCTCACTGGTTTTGAGTGATTATTCTATCAATGACTAACTGTGGTATGTTAAACTTCCACAGTATAGATTTATCTTATTCTCTGTATATTGCCTATTTTTCTTTTATATGTTTTTAGGCCTTGTAATTAAGTACAAACATATTTAAAATGATATTAGTAAATTTAATCTTTCATCATTATAAAGTGATAATGCTTTTGTCCTTTGGGTAGACATCACATGAAATTAATTTTAGCTTCCCATACTTTTTGGTTAGTATTTTCATGAGAAATACTATGGGATTATTTATCTTTACTATGCATTTGTCACTTTATCTGCTTGTCCTACATCTCAGACCTCCTATCAAAGATTTCTTTCCTCATGCCTAAAAATATATCCTTTAGCATTTGCTTTACTGAGGGGTCTACTGATAACAAATTTTCTGTTTTCATTGCCTGAAATTTGTCTGCAATAATTATTATTTCACCTCCTTCCTTAAAAAATGTTTGCTAAATATAGCATTCTGTATTGATATACATCATTTTACTGTGTCTGGTTTCCACTGTTGATATTTAGAATTTGGCCATCAGTCTAATTGTCACTTTCTGAAACATAATCTAATCTTTGGGATTTAGTTTTAAGTTTTTCTTTTTGTCTTGAATGTTTTGCTATTTTACCATAATGTGACTGGGGGTAGATTTATTTATCCTTCTTAAGATTTGCTGAGCCTCTCAATTTGTGTCCTTCATTGATTCTGAAAAAATCTCAACCATTATTTCTTCAAATATTGCTGCTTCCCTCTTCTCTCTTTTCCTAGAATTAAGACTTATTTTGGACCTTTTAACTCTATCCTTTATGTCTCCTATTCTGTTTTCTTATTTTCCTATTTCTGTCTCTCTGAGTTGCATTTAGTATATTTTCCCCTGCATTCCAATTCATTAATTTTCTTCAATTCTGTTTACTTTGCTATTAAATCCATCCTTTGAACCTGACTTTTTATTGTTATTTTTTTCATCTTTAGAAGTTTCATTTGGTTCTTTTTTAAATCTGTTGGTATATTTTATTCTATGAAAACAGATAATTTCAAATGTGTCTACTTTTTCTTTAAACATGACAGTCATTTCATGATCTGTCTCAGATAACTCTAGTAATTAGCATCTTTATAGGGCAGTTTCTGCTTCCTTTTGTTCCTGGTAATTTTCACTCATGTTGGTGTCTTCTTGCTAATTATTTGGGAGACTTCTACAGTGTTAGCATGAAGGTATGTTCCTCCAAAGGAAGATGTGTATTTGTTTTTTCTTGGTGCTTATGGGTATTAGCATCAGTTCTAATTTAAATTCAGTCATGGCTTGAGATTCATCAGGCTATCCAGTAATTTGAATTTGAGGTGTAAATCAATGCTAGACACTTCATGGTTACTATTTCTCAGAGACAATTCTCCACCCACCCCCCCCAAACCCTAACTAAGGTAATTTTGTCTGCTAACTCCTGAGAATGGTAGGGATGACAGATAGTTGTTCATCATATAGTCAAGGTGTAATCCATACTAGGGGAGAATCTATAATTAAACATTTTGGTGGTCCAAGGCTTTGTTTCTTCTCAGAGGCCTGAAAACCAAATCTTACATTACCCTGGTCAAGCAAATATCCTTAAGGCCAAAGAGTCTTCTATGCTGTGCTCTCTCTGCTTACCTCTATGGGTTCCTGTCTTGACTTAGATTTTGATCTGCTGTTGTCTTACTGTCTAGTTAGCTCTTTAAATCTTTCAAGAAGATTGATTTATTTTGAAATATAACATCAGGCAATTAACTGACATTAGTTATTTTCAGTAAGACAGTCCAAATAATCTATCCCAATATATTTTCAGAAACAGAACCTCCTCAATGATTTTTCATCATTTTATCTCCATCTATCTCATTCTCTTTATCTCCCCCTTTACCACACAAATAATTTCCTTATTGCTTCCACACTAAGATTTTGGGTCAATTACACTGATGGATCAATTCTCACTAGACAAGAAATACATAAGAAATCCTTGCTCCCAAAAGATTTGATATCAATATTAAAGTTTTTTTTTGTTTTTTTTAATCCTCACCCAAGGATACTTTTGCATTTATCTTCAGATAGAGCGGGAGGGAGAGAGAGAGACAGAAACATCGACATGAGAGAGACACATCGACTGGCTGCCACCCACACAACCCCAATGGGGGCCAGGGACAAACTGCAACAGAGGCATGTGCCCTTAGTGGGAACCCTACCCGGGACTCTCTGGTCTGCGGGCTGACGCTCTAACTGATGAGCCAAACCAGCCAGGGCAATATTAAAGTTCAACAGGTAAATATCTCTGTCATTAACCAGTTGTGATTATAAACAAGCAAGTTGACTTCTCTGGATTCTATTTTCCAGACCTGGGAATTATGTCAGTCCTTCCCCCCTAGTTACCTTCTACATACAATCAACCAAACCTTGTATGTTCTACCTCCCACATTTCTGTCAATTATCTCCCCTTAATTTCAGTCCCAAGGACTACTACTTCTTTAGTTCAAAAACCCTTATCATTATCTGAATTATTTTTGCCTCCTTACTGAAGGCACTACCTCCTGCCTCTAGATTCCCTCCCTCTAAAATTATTTTCCATATTGCTACTAGATTTATTTCTAAAGTATGTATCAATGATGTTATTTTCAAAGCTTCCAGAATTAAGTTCAAATTTCTTGAGGTAGCACACAGTGCCTTTCATATTCTTTCCTTCTTTCCTCTTTTTACTTCCTTGATCTCATTTTCTGCAAACACAATTTGTTCAAACGTCTATGGTTTCATGTATGTTGTGTCTTCTGCTTGAAGTACCTTCTATTCCTTATCTCTACCTAATTACTTCTACTGATGTTTTATAACTCAAGAACACTGTTTCACTCAGAAACTCTTCTAGGACTACTCATCCTCTCTCAAATTTGGACATTACACACACACACACACACACACACACACACACACACACACGTATACTTGGGGACAAAGAGAGAATCCTAAAGGCAGCAAAAGATAAGCAACAGGTTACCTACAAAGGAAACCCCACAAGGCTCTCAGATGACTTCTCAATGGAGAGGGAAAGAGAGAGAGAAAGAGAGGGAAGGAGGGAGAGGGAGAAAGTGAGGCAGGCTGGCTTACAAACACAAAAAATATACCAATGATTTATTTGTGTTTGGGATTTTTGTACATTACATTCATATAATTTTACTGCACCAAAATATAATTTGTTGGTTTCTAAGTAGATTCTTCATTTGAGGTCACAATATGAAATTAAATATAGGTTTGATTATATCAACAGCATATGGAAAGCTTGATCCTTTTTTTAAAATCTACTAGAATTCAATATTATATGCATTGTACATTTGGTCATAATAACTTTATTATTCTGCTTCACAATTTACTTTTTGGTAAATAGAAAAATAGCGTCTATTAATTAATAGACAAATAAATTTACAGTTCATTTCAGAAATTCATCCAATTTATCTTTTAAATTAATATATTTTTTAAAAGAATCAAGATAATAGAATATTACAAAACAAAATCAAACTTGCCATCATCCTCCCAGCAGCTCTTTGCATTCCCTTCCCTTTCGCTGCTCCCTGGTAACACTGTCTGGTCTGTTGGCAGGTCATCTTCTGGCATACCACCTTCACAATCTGCTGCATCTGTAATACTTTCTTCTTCCACAATATGGAGTTTGTCTTCATCATCTGAATCTGAATTTGTTTCTACCACAGTATTATAATTTGTAACTGTAATACAAATGAGAAACAAAGAATCAAAATCAGTTTTTACACTTCAGTAAAAAAAAAATTTTTTTAAGTACTTGCAACAGATTGTGATTCAATATTTCCTTTAATAGCTATACTTACTGAATACTTAATATATGTACAAGTGATTTATAAATAGTAACTCATTTAATTTTTACAACAACCTTACAGCAACACTATGAAATAGATTAACTGTCTACCATCTGCTACTTATATCATGGTTTTACATTAGTGGAAACCAAGACACAAGGAAGGCAAGTAACTTGTTCAAGATCATCCATAGGAAGTGGCAAGACCAGGATTTGAATCCTAGCACTCTGGATTCATAATCTGTGCTCTTCAATACTACATTAAACATCCTATCCTCTCCAATCATAACAAACTTATTCTATATGATACTGCTCATGTACAATTAGTCCTTCAAATATTTAAAGCAAAACAGTTTAAGAGTTTAACTCCTCTAGTAAAATAGCAATACATCATCAAATTTACCATAAGAAAAAGTATTTACAAATTATTGATTAAGCCCATGCATTTCATATTAATCATTACTGACTTTAGAAAGAATCAACCAATTTAGCAAAATTTCTACATAATTAAGGCATGATTTAAGTAACATTTATATGTGAATCTGTCATTCTAAAAAATAATTGCCATTCAGCGGTTTTCAAATGAATACCCTTCCCATATTTTTAATGAATTTCAATAAAATTTAATACCAGCATTATAAGGATATATAACTATGTTGAATGACTACAGCTCACAGAATCATGAGTGATAGTTGAGAATAAAATTCTCTAAAAAAATAATGTAATATAGCCAGTATTTTTTCTCCAGAGTCCTTGTAATAATAACTGTAATGGAATAAATTATTTAGTATCTCATTGGCTATGGTCACTGGAAAACTCTTTTCAACTATTTGCAGTAAGATTCTTACTCACTAAGAGAGATTGCGGGTAAGGGAGAAAAAGGAAGCTTTCCTTTGTTTAGATAACTAAGCAATGGTTACTTCTAGTTCTTTCCATTTCTTCCTTCAGTTTTCCAACCATTCTTGATAGAAGATATTCACTTAAATGCTTATATGATATGCATATATATCCCCCTTCCTATATAAACACACACACACACACTAAGACCATGAAAAAAGAAATACAATAACATATATGTTGAGATGAGTACAAATAACCAAAAATCTCCAAAGCTACTCTTACAGTCCTTGGGAAGAACTCTCTGTCCAAAAGATTAGTGAGTTACCCTTTTGCCCATGTGAGGAATTCTTCAATATCTTATGTCATAATCATTAATACTTTACTGTAAATACATTTTCCAGCTCTTTTCCCAAGAGAAAGTCATTTTCTCTCTAATATTATTATAAAAGTAATACATGTTCATTGGGGGAAAAAAAGTAAGACAATACATAATATGTAAAATTAGTAAAAGCCCATCCCCCTAATCTTCCCTTCAATTCTCTCTTTAAAGACAACAACAGCAAATTTTATCAATTAATTTATACACTAAGTAGTCATGATACTGATCACTTTATATATCTTTTCCTTTTTAATTGTAATACAGATCTCACCTTATACACATATATTTAATATAAATCTTTTTTTTTTTTTTTAATTTATCCTCACCCAAGGACATTCTTCCATTTTTTTGTTCAGAAAGAGTGGGAGGGAGAGAGAGGAAGAGAGAGAAAAATCGACGTGAAAGGGACACATCGAGTGGCTGCCACCCACACGACCCAACCAGGGTTGTGGACAAACTGCAACTGAGGTACGTGCCCTTAGTGGGAACCAAACCTGGACTCTCGGGACCCCAGGCCCACGCTCTAACCGCTGAGCCAAACCGGCCAGGGCAATATAAATCTATTTTTAATACACATATATGGGATCACATTATACACTTTGCCACTTAGTTTTCTACCACTTAATAACATACTTTGGAAACTTTTATATGTGAGTATATGTGGAACTTTATAATTTTTTTCTGGATGGCTACACAGCATTTCATTGTACAAATATAATTTAAGTAATCACCTATTCATAAAATTCAGTTTCTTTTCAGTGTTTAAGCATTGGTAACAATGTCATAATAGATCTTCTTATAAATATATCTTTGGCCATTCCTTAAAAACATTTGTCAGTAGGGATGGAATTGCAGAAAACGTATTAAGTAGATAGATATGGAAATACAGGAAATTCCTTATACTCCAGCCACATTATGAGAAGGGCAAATTGTGAAAATGTGTGTGCATGGGTAAAGAGAATGATTCTCAAAGGATAGTCTAGAGTTGGAACAAGGGTTTCTTGATAAGCCCTTAACTGAGAGTAAGATGCAAATATATATGTATGTGTATGTGCATATATATAATTTTTTTAGGAATATTACTGGTGTATAATGTACCATGCTATTAAGTTTTATTTTACTTTCAAGGATCCTTATTAGTAACCTACTAAATGACTTACTAAAGAATTTAAAGTTGCTATGGTATGTAGTCATTTATATGCTACACACATTAGACAATATTTAGTATTTACTGAGTATCAATCAATTCTGTATTCCATGAAATCTGGTCACCACATTGGCTCATTGCAGAGTTCTCACTATGCATGGATAGTTGAAATTCCTACTATTTTGTGAAGGGAGGTTTTAGTGTTTCTTTAGTATCTTGAGTTGACCATGGTTATATATTGGTGCTGTTATTGCTTTTAATGATATAATACTGTAGTTTAGTTTTATAATGATCAATTTTGTTACTTATAGGTTATTTGGTTGACGCTAGATTGTATATTTAACATATGCAGAGAGTATTTTCCAATAATTGGACTTTAAGATATATATGTTTTATGTTACAAATACACCTGTCACTTTTGCTTTAGCAAAACTCCTTCTGGTCCCCCAGTATAAGCTGCCATTGTGGTGTGAAAGATTGATTATAAGTCAGGTATCCAAACCACAGACATTGCATATATTTTATAGTTATCTTGTGAATTTTCCCAGAGCATGTTTTTGAGTGTGTGATGTAAACTTGAAAAATTTTTTAAAAAGCACTACATTTTATTGGCTAAGATGGAAAAAAGACCAATAACTATTTTCCAAGGCTTCTCACTGTCTTCTGCTTCACAGTCACTTAGCTGACAGAAAAAAAAACAAACAAAAAACAGTGAAAATCACTTATATTGATTATCGTAAGTTAGATAATAGGCAAGCTTCCTTGTGTTTCTGAATCTATCTTTCTGTGGATCTACTTCTGTTTAAAAACAGGATCCCAGCACTAAAAGCACAGAAAGTAATACAGGCCCTTGATAAATTCTAATAGCCAATGAGAGTGTCAGTTATTTCAATTGTCTGCACATCTATTGCTATAACTTTATACTGTTTAACTTTTGGCTAAAAAATACAACAAAATATAATTTGTCTAAAGAGCAGCATACTCTTTATTAATATTTAATTTTTTTATTGTTGAAAGTATTACAGATGTATTCTTAATCACAGGTGATGATCAACCTTTGGTCCTGAGGTTTTTTTTTTAATTAAAAAACAATTCTCACCCAAGGATACAGTTACTGATTTGAGATAGACAGATAGAGAGAGAGAAGACATTGATCAGTTGCCTCGGATCTGTGCCCCAACTGGAGATCGAACTATCGAACTCGCAACCCAGGTATGTGCCCTGACCAGAGTCAACCTTCGAAACCGCAACCTTTTTGGTGCATGGGATGATGCTCCAACCAATTGAGCCACCCGGCTGGGGCTGGTTCTGAGTTGTAATTAAAATAATAAGATTTCGCCCTAGTCAGTTTGGCTCAGCGGTTAGAGCGTCGGCCTACGGTCCCGAGAGACCTGGGTTCAGTTCCCGCTAAGAGTACATACCTCGGTTGCAGTTTGCAACCCGGCCCTGGATGGGTCATGCGGGTGGCAACTACTCGATGTGTCCCTTTCATGTCGATGTTTCTCTCTCTCTCTCTCTCTCTCCTTCCCACTCTATCTGAACAAAAAATGAAAAAGTGTCCTAGAATGAGGATAAAAATAATAATAATAATAATAAAATTTCAAGAGAGTAAAGATAAAGGAAAAGAGAAAAGGTAAACAGTTTTAAAGTGTTTAAGCATAATTTATCATTCACAATATGAATTTAAATGTCAATAAAAAATGGTAACATTTTCAATGCTGTCCTATCATCACCAGACAGTGGTTAAGTACACACTGGGGAGAGGGTTGCCTTCATGCACAGAATCTCAGTTCTTAATTTCTTTCTCCCCTCTCTAAGTACACAAAAATTACTAAGTATTTATGGGATTTGTTTTTGATATTCTCTCAGTTCTTGTTCTGGCCTTTCCCCCATTCTCCATTGATCCTCTGCCTATATGCCCCCAACAAGAGCCATCCCAAATTATCTTATCCTTTCCCTGTCTTATCAAAACTCCCACTCACTGAGTGAGCTAATTTCAGCCAATATTAGTATAATTCACAAAGAGGTAGATGAAACAGTTAAATAGCAAAGTTCTTAGATTCAACTAAATGCAGTTCTAGGAACAGATGATTTTTTTGTGTGTAGGAGGAAAGTATATGGATTGAGATAATTCATACTAAATTATTAATAACTAATATTTTCCTCATAGGTACAATCCTTTTTATAAAAGGATGCTCTTTCATTTATATTACTTGTTAGTTTGGGGATGCAGGAAGTATGATAAAACACAAATGTGAGGAGGAAATTAAAAATACAAACACAAAAACTGAGTCAGAAAGTAGAAAAGCCATATAATTAATAAATTAGTCCAACAACAAGACCTTTAAAGAATCAATTAAATAGGTACAATGCCAACCCACTTAATTCCATAAAAAAATTGACTGGTAGTACAACTATTCAATATTAAAATGCAAATAGAGAAATAACTACAAAGGGATGTAGAAACTTTATAAAAATATTTTGCACAGAGCAAATATGTTTGAAAACCAGGATGAAATAACTTTCT